TAAATTTTAATAATTTTTTTTTATTTTTTAGGGAACAAAATCTTATAAAAAAAACCAAAATCCAACGTTTTTAATCGAATTGATATTTTTTCGCTTTTAATTGTCTGTTTGAATCTATCTGATCTACCAATTCTACATACACACACATGTACACACACATTAAATGACAGCAATAATTTTTCTAAAACGCCACCATGTGTTGTATTTTTCAGTGGAAAGGCGTTTCTGCGAATCGAACAAGTGAAAGCAATTTCAAAGAAAAATCGCCAAAATGCTTTAACTCGCAATAAAAACACAAAAGCAACAATAGCGATATCGAGCGAAAAGAGCAATTGGAAAGTGCAATAAAATAGATGAATGTAAAATATTGACACACAAATAACAATAACAACGAACGAACACGCAAAGTGCACAACAATAAAAACAAGCGAGAAGGAAGCAAAAACAAAAAATAAATATAAAAACAATAACAAAGTAATCGCAACAACACACAGCGCAGCAGCGCACAAACGCAGAAGGCGGAGAGCAGTGAGGAGAAGGCGAAGGAGGAGGGGCAAAATGCCAAGAATTGCAAGAAAAATGGCGACCGCAACAAAATTCGCCATCGCGGTTGGCAACATTCTCACAATATTTATGGCAATGACAATGTATTGTTGCCAAGTGGCTGGCCATCCGCAGGCACAGCCACGGCCGCAACACCAATCCGAAGCGCAACAACAGCAGCAGCACGTGCTGGCAACGCCACAGGCGACACCACATAAATACCAGCAATTGCAATATCAATTGCAACAACAACAGCAACAGCAATATGAATATCAGCAACAGCTGCAACAGCAATTGCAAAAACAGCAGCAGCAACAGCAAGAAAAATTGCTTTATCAACAACAACAGCAACAGCAGCAGGAAAAATTGCTCTATCAACAACAACACCAGCAACAGCATAAATACCAACACCAACAGCAACAAATTGAGAAAAAGCACGATGAGGGCAGTTATGCGCAGGAGACGGAACGTGAGCTACAAAAACAACAGCAGCGTGCAACACCCACACAGGTTAGTGTTGTTGCAGTTGTTTTGATTAAATTCCAACAATATTTTCTTAACTTTGTTGCACTTATGATGTTGTGGGGCAGATGAAATCGCGCGGAAAGTGTCGTGCGGAAGAAGGGTGGGGAGAACAGAAAGAAAATAGCAAAATAGAAAGAAAATATTATAGAAATAGAATAGAAAGAAATAGAATAGAATAGAATAGAAAGAAATAGTATGTGATTTCTGAAATTCCAGAAATATTATAAGCAGTCTAAGCCTTATTTCGTTAAAGCATAACGAATGCAATCAATTTTACTTAGAAAATTCCTAAGCGATTTTAGAAAAAATATAATCGGTTGATGATATTTCAGTATTTCTTTTAAAATAAAAATATACAATCAGCCGAAAGCCTTTGATGCTAGCGCTGCGTACTTTAGTTTATTTAATAATTTGTTTATTATGTAAGCTTTAATAAAATAAAATAAAAACATACAGAGTAGTAAAACGTATTCCAAAATTAAATAACTTCTAATACATTTCGGATTTTGGAAGTGAGGCATATTTTTTAAAAATCTACACAAAAATTTTAAATCTTCTTTTTTTTGAAAATTTTATTTTTTTCTATTAATATTGTAAAAATATATCCGGAGCTGAGACTTTTTTTGTCAAAAATTATAGAGTTGTAAAATTTTGATATTTTTTCGAAATAAAAATAGTTTGGATTGAGATGTACTTTTAAAATTTTTTTAAATTTAAAATTTTTTGAATTAAAAAATTTAAAACATTTAAAAATAAATTTCCCTATTTTGTTTTTTATGTACATATATTTAAATTGTTTAAAAACGTTTTGAATTTTTTTCCAAAATAAATGAATTTAATGATTGGATGTTTTTAATGAAATATTTCCATGAATATTAATTATATCTTTAATAATAAAATATTTAAAGAAATTTTAAATATCTTTTCACTTACCCTTGAGGCTGGCTTTGTGACCAGATTGCTCCAAAATTAGCACTAGAGAAGAAAAAAGACAGAATAAAAAATATGATATAAATAAAAACTATTCACAGAATATTTGGGTAGCCAATCAATTATAACTAATACAAATTAAAAAAATATACTGTTAAAAAATTCAGATAATTTTGTTTAAAAGCATGACATATGGTTGCTAAGCCAACTACATCTTAGTTTGTTACAGAAAATAGTTGGTCTATTATACTTAATTTCCACAAAATATCAGTCATTCTCCTAAAAGTATGCTTTAATTTTAATTTTACATGCTTCCTTCATACATTATATGATTGCCTACAGCAAGATTGCACAACAATCATGAGGCTGAAAAATTAAAATAAATAAATATGAAATTCTACCGAAAGTGTGCCGAAATTTACTAAATATATCAAAGCTCTTCTGCAGAGCAGTTTAGAGTAGATAAATAACTTTTATCTAAAACTGCCTAAAAGTAAATTTTTTTGTTTAATACCCAAACTGCGCTATAGCAAGCCCCTAACGCTTTTCCACAACGTTTTCACACACACTCATATATAAATATATACACATACATACATACACATACACGCATAAATTTTTATCGCTCGCAGCCACCCCTGCTATCAACAACTATATAGTTGTTATTCAAGGAAATTTGTATTTATTTTTATTTGCCATTTTATTGTCTGCGCTCAGGGCCAGCCTGCGATGGTTTATACACTAACACTCACGCGCCCTACCATATACGAGTACCCATGCGAAAAAGCTAACAGAGCGGCATGTGTGTCTGCTGTGCCTCACTCCGCCGCCACCACTGAGCTCAACCGTACCGTTATTGTATGCCATTGTTGCCAACTTCATTTATAACAAACCTGCGCGGCAGCCCGCGTCCCCGCACGTACCTTGTTGGTTACCTTACAGCGCTTTATCGTCGTGGTCGCTCGGCGCCGCAACCTGGCATTACACATTTACCCATTTTAGTTGGGATTTATTGATTTTTGTGGCCGTAAATTTTTTGCTTATACAAATAATAAAAGTCACACGTGGGCGGATAAGGCGGACCAAGCTGCCAATAAAGCTTACTTTTTTACAAAATATAAAACAAGATATAAAAAAAAATACGGCGTTTGAAAGAAATGATTTTTAGAGGTAGGCGAGTTGGCAAGGAATGTTCGGAATTAAATAAATAACAAAATAACTAAACTGAATAAGTAAATAAAAATATAAATGAATACAAAAATATTTTT